TAAAAATATTCAGGTGAAAGAAGAGTGACAAAAAATAACTAAATATAAAAAAGGAAAAATCAGACTGATGGTCCATAGTTGAAAGATCTCACAGGCATGCACTGGAGAACTAGGAGAAAAGAGATGAAAGCATGTGGTAGAAGAAAGACTTAAATAAATTACAGCCAAGAGTTTACACAAACAAAGAAAAAATAGCTCTAAAAATCTTTACAACATAAAACAGTTAAAAAAGGACAACATCACATCTATGCATGGTAGTTAACTTATGAAATCCAAACACAATATATTAAAAGAGAAAGATGCATTAAACCACAGTGCATTATAGTAAAGCATTAAAAAGGTTGGTAGTTCATTTTTCAAGAGATATGGTAGTCAGCAAAGTACATCATTAATTATTGAAATAGGAAAAATATGTCAAACTAGAATTCTATTGTGAGTAAAAATAGCCTCTAAAAATGTAATTCATTGCCATCAGACCAGCGCAGAAAAAGGGGAAGGTGTATTTTCAGAAAATTTAATATTTCCGGCTGAGAAAAAAATATATTCTAGAAAGAAATAAAACAACAATGAAAATCAGCAAGCAACATAGAGCATCAGAAAGATGCATTGATCTTTAAAATGAGTGGTTACTATTTAATACAACAAAAAAGATAATTTCAAATAGGAATTAATATCAGAAATGACAAAAGTAGCAAAAAAAATCAAAGAGAACTTGGAATTAAACAGTTGTAAAGCTATTTCATTTAATTCAACTTAATATTTTATTATTTTTGTGATAGCATATTTTTAAAATTCACATTATAGTCAAAGACTTAATTAGCAGCTAAATAGAGAGTTCAACAAATAAAAAGTAAAAGATCACCGTGGACAGGAACATTGACAAAGATCATAAACAATCATCAAATGAAGAGATGTTTAACTTCACTCATATAAAGTAAATGTTAAAATAGTCATGAAACCATCAAAACTATAGCATATAATTCTTAATTTGACAAGAATTTAAAACAGTTTTGATAAAATACTGAATTTGCAACAAAACTGATATACACAGGCATTTCTCTGATTTTGTTTTTCAATTTGATTTTTTTACTTTAGCTTTCACTTATAAGATAGAATATGTGATATTTGTCTGTCTGGGTCCAGCTTATTTCACTCAACATGGTGTCCTCCAACTCTAACCATTTTGATGCAAATGATAGGATTTCAAATGATTTAAAGTAAAATGAAATGAATTGTAATATCCAAGGAAACTAAGAAGAAAATAAGAAAAAATAAAACAAAATATTAAGGGAGAAAAAAGTGAATGAAATGAAACACATAAAAAATTCAAGAACATTAAGTGGAAAAACAAATAAAAATGAAACAAATCACAAGATGGCATACATAAACAGAAATCTATAGTGAAATTTTAAGTAATATATCATAAAGTAGCATGTCTCATTGCAATATATGTATATATACATATTATATGGACTAAGTAATAAAAATAACTTAAAACGTATTATAATTTGTAAAATGATTTAAAAATTTATTTGTATTTTAACACTCAATATAATGTGAACTCATCTATGATACATAATTTCCTTTATAACATTCTTTCTTCATAAAGCCACACGAATGAACCCAGGTCAAATAATCTTAACTGTACCATGAACATTTTAAATTGGTTTTTATTTAACCAGGCACTTGACTTGAATGTCTTTTAATAATGGTCTTTTTGGAAATGGTAGTTAGATAGAATAATTCAACTCACTGACTCATTCATTTAATAATCATTCATCAAGTGCTGGGCACTGGCCTGAACACCTAGTGTTACAAAAGCCAATAAAACATCATTCTTAGAGGCCCTTGTAATAGAGGAAAGGCACACCTCCAAAAATAAGATGAATGTGCAAAAGTATTACAAAACAGAAAAAAAGTTGATGGATGCTTGGCCAAATATGCAACAGAAATTTCAGAGACACCTACAACAGGGTGTTAAAGTCGAGTCATTGCACTTTAAGAAAGCAGGTATAGGAGCCGGAAGAAGCTCCTGGCTCCTATATTCCAATAGGCTTGGCTCAGGCTTTTGTGGCCATTTGGGGAGTGAATGGATGGAGATGGAGGACCTCTCTGTCTCTCTCTGTCTCTGTGGTAATTCTACCTCTCAAATAAATAAATAAAATCTTATGAAAAAGAAAGTAGGTAAAAAGTCTTATTAAATGTATAAAATAGTATTGGAATCAACACTGGGTATAGCAGTGAAGTCACTGTTTGACCTGGATTGAGTTCGTGGCTCCGGGCTTCAGGCCAGCCCAGTCCTGGCTGTTGAGGTATTTGATGAATGAATAGGCAGATAGATAGGAGTGCTCTCTCTGTTTCTCTCTCTCTCTCTCTCTCTCTCTCTCTCTGCCCTTTAAATAAATAAATATTTTTCAAAGAATATGCAGTATTCCACTATGTCTAGGGCAGATGTGTATGTAGAATTATATTAAGAGATAAACCTTAGGGGCCAGCACTGTGGCGCAGCGGGTTAAAGCCCTGGCCTGAAGCGCCAGCACCCCATATGGGTACCAGTTCTAGTTCTGGCTGCTCCTCTTCCAATCCAGCTCTATGGCCAGGGATCACAGTAGAAAATGGCCCAAATCCTTGGGCCTCTGCACCTGTGTGGGAGACCTGGGAGAAGCTCCTTGCTCCTGGCTTTGGATCAGCACAGCTCCGGCCATTGCAGCCATCTGGGGAGTGAACCAGCAGATGGAAGACCTCTCTCTCTGCCTCTACCTCTCTCTCTGTAACTCTATCTTTCAAATAAATAAAATAAATCTTAAAAAAAAGAGAGATAAATCTTGAAAATACATTTCATGCTGACTTCTTGAAAGCCTTTTGGACATTATCATGCTATATTCTTTATTATAGTTGTTAAACATCTTCAGTAAAATGGACATAAGGGACAATCCTCTGTATGATTTTATGGCACCATAGATTATTCTATAAGATATGAAGCAAGGTATCTGCTAAATAAACACTGAAATACATTGAAATTGTATCCTTTACATTCTGAGGACGTCAAGAATATAATTTCCTTACAATCTCACAGGACTGAGGTGGCTCTCCTCCCTGAATTGGCTGATTTCTTATATTCTCTTGCTTCAAGGCTCATATTCTTCTCTGAAATTCTACCTTATCAGTAGTCCCCACTTATCCTCTGGGGTTATGTTCCATGACCCCTAGTGTATGCCTGAAACAACAGTCAGTGAGGAAACCTATAATTTACTATATTTTCTTTCCTAACTAACCACTTATCACCCACTGTGGCTGCAATTTTTGCAGTTAGAAGTGTGACAACAAAACTAGCATGGATTTCTTTTTCCTTTTTCACACTTTCAGGATGGAAGAGTTGTTCCTATTGCATGTCTTAGCAACCTTGGCACGTGACTTTTTCTTTCTATATGTTGAGAACTTCCACCTTTTCATTTAAAGAAAGTACTTTACAGATTCTCTCTGGAATAATGGATTGCTCCATTGCTATTCCTGTTCTTTGGAAACTTCACTAAATAAAATAAGGGTTACTTGAATACAAGCATCATGAAACCTCTACATTAGCTCTGAAACTAAGAGTCTGGCTACTCAGTGATGAATGTGAAGATGTTGCATAAAGCAAGTATAAAGATGTTGTATATAAAGATATTCTGGGGGCCGGCACTGTGGTATAGTGGGTGAAGCTGACACCTGCAGTGCTAGCATTCCATGTGGACACCAGTTCAAGTTCCAACTGCTCCACTTCCAAGCCAGTTCTCTGCTATGGCCTGGGAAAGCAGTAGAAGATGGCTAAGCCCTGCACCTGTGTGGGAGACCTGAAAGAAGCTCCTGGCTCTTGGCTTTAAGTAGGTGCAGCTCCGGACATTGCAGCCAACTGGGAGTGAATTTGTGGATGGAAGACCTCTCTCTCTCTCTCTCTCTCTCTCTCTCTCTCTCTCTCCATCTTTCAAATAAATAAATAAATCTTTAAAAAATTAAAAATATTCTGTACAAATGGTGGGTCCTATCCTGGACAGGACAGAGTGAGAAGGCACAAGATTTCATTGCATTCCTCAGAATAGCACGCATTCTAAAAGTTATGAATTATTTGAATTTTCTATTTAATATCTTCAGACAATGATTGGCAATAGGAAATTAAAATTGCAGAAAACAAAATGGCAAATGGGAGGATTACTTGATATTAGTGGCAACCTGCTTTTAGATGATGATGATGATGATGCGTATATGTGTATAGCATTAATTCATGACATAAAGGATTTTTAAATGCTTATTTTTAATGTCTATTTGTAATAGAAACAGTAAGAAAGACAAAAAGACTTGCTAGTTGACTCCCCACATGCCTGAAACATCCAGGAATGGCCTAGGCCAAAACAAGGATCCAGGAATTCCATCTGGATTTTCTATTTTGGTGGCAGGGATCCAAGTACTTGAGCCATTATCCGCTGCCTTCCAAGCATCCAATAGTGGGAAGTTGGATTGGAAACAGAGGTGTGGCTGGAAATCAGGCACTGTGATATAGGATGTATGCATCTCAAGCTACAGTTTAAATGACTGAGCCACAATGTATGCCTCATCTGGAGAATTTTTAAAAGATATTTGTTTACAGAAAGTATATATGGGATAATTTTGCATGAGTGGAATGCCTATATCCAAATGTATCTTCAATATTTCCATGAATACTTTTGTAATACATAACTACTTCAGAAAATGCCAAAGTACATTATTGATACTGCTGCACTGCTTTAAATATGTAATTGTGATTACAACTGAAACTCATTCTTTTGACATTATATCGATTATGTCCCAGTCTAGGAGACAAGAAATGGAGTGATTTCTTTAGTCTCGCCTATGGGAAGGAGCTCACACAATACAGGAACAAAAAAGTCACATTTTAAAAGACATAACAATATCTATTCATCATTTCATTTTGTTTTACACAAGTGGATAGTGACAGCTTTAAATAATAAGGAAAAGGTACATACTCTGAGGAAACCGTGGTGGATTGTCATTGACGTCGGTCAGAGTGATGTTGACAGTAGTTGACCCTGAAAGCCCTCCAACTTGTCCAGCCATGTCTTTGGCTTGAATCACCACTGAGTAGTGTTCTCTGGCTTCTCTGTCCATGTTATGTAAGGCAGTTCTAATGACTCCTGTAATACATGTATTTTAAAAACTACTATGAGTTATAGATTAGATAATAATTTATTTTTCTAAGAGATTAATTTTTAAATAGACAACTTTTGAGAGATAGTCACCCTTTTGAGAAAAATAGTACCTTACACAATATTGACTCTCCAGTTAATTAATTATTTATTTCTTATTTTTATTGGAATCCCTTTTAAAGATTTTTAAGGTGAACAAATTTTATATATTTCACACATAGAAATTTAGGAACATAGTGATACTTTCCACCCTACCTTCCCTTCTGCCTACACTTCCACCCTTCCTCCCCTTGTTCTCTTATTCCCTCTCTGAATTTTTATAATGACTTACTTTCAGTTTACTTTATACTCACATGATTAACTCTACAATAAGTAAAGAGTTCAACAAATAGTAAGAAGGAAAAAAAAAAAAAAAAACTGTTCCTCAACAGTAGATACAAGGACTGTAACACATTGTTGAATCTCAAAATGCCAATTTTCTCCAATTGTTTATAATCATGTCACCCAAGCCATTCTTTCAGTGGCAAACTGCCTTTCTTTTCTGTCTGCATTTCATGAGGAAAATGGTCTTTTGAGGGCAGTGCTGTTTCTCAAGCTTGTTCCTTCTTCAGAGGTGTTTGAACATTTTACAATTTGTAATTCTCAAGTGTCAGGTAAGATAGCCACATGGATTTGAGTAGAGGTCAGTTTTCCTCTTTACAAACAATTTCCATAACTTCCCATCAGCAAAGACCAAGTTGGATGTTGGAAGGTGCTGGAGGACAGTGAATATTTCAACAGAGATTGTAGACAGGAGGCATCTGAACATACATCAAGACAAATTCACTTTTTTTAAAAAAAAAAACAAAAAAACAACTTTACGGCATATAGTTCTACAGACTTACTTCTAAGAGTACAGCCTAAAAACTTGTCATGGGACTCCAAACTCATTAAAATTGGTGGTATAAATGCCATCTTAATTGTTAGGACAATCATATTGAATGTTAAATGTTAAAGTCAACATACAGATAGGTTTAAGTGTAAAAGTGATCATATAAATAACATCAAGTATCTGGTAATAATAACAGAATTGAAAAGGAAGGTAAGTCCAATATGGGAAGCAGACCACACAGCAGACTCCTAGAATGACATTCGCTGTAAATAGCACTCTAACCTCAGAATCAACACTTAAGGCTTCCTTGTCTGGCTGAAAGGCCTGTGAGAGCATTTCAGGCATGGAAAGCCAAGACTCTGTGGCAAAAATATCCTACACAAAGAATCTCTGTGAGACCTCAGTGGAAAGAAAGGGCCATCAAAGAAGGAGGTACTTTTCTCTGAAGGGAGGAGAGAACATCCACGTTGCTTATGCCCATGTCCAAATACTGATGGAGTCTATGGTCACAAAAGGCTTCCCTAGCCTTGGCAGCACATGGCAAGAACCTCAGGTGATCACTGATGTCATAAATAAGAGTGTTAATTGTTAAAGGAACAACAGAAGTCACTGGGTACCTACTCCCCATGTAGGACATCCATCCTTTATGAGTTGTACTGCATCCCATGAGAATCGACTGCAAATCTTGTTCTCAAACTGTGCTCTATATATTGTGTGTGTGGGGGGGTGCGAACTGTTGAAATCTGTGCTTAACATGGAGTTGGTACTCTGTATATAAAATCAAACTAAAGATGTACCAAAAGAGGAAGGGGATGGGAGAGGGAGAGGGAGGGGGGATGGGAGTTGGGGTGGGAGGGTGGGTATGGGGGAAAGAACCACTATATTTCTAAAGTTGTACCTATGAAAAATACATTCATTAAATAAAAACTTAAAAAAAAACTTTAACAAGAACTAGGTGTAGTTCTATATGCAAAACAAAGAAAGTGATGAGTTTGATTCTAAAAATCACATGTAAAAAATCATATTCTTATCTCATACTGCCATAGAGGATAACTAATGAACTTTTCCATAAAAGAGACTTAGATTTAATAAAGAGATGAAAAATGTTATATACCAATTCATGATTGTGCATCTATAAACACCAGCTCCCATAAACATAAATTGGTAATCTGTAAATAATCTAAAATTTAGAAATTAAAAATACACTTTCCAAAAGAACAAGTTTTTTCCAACCATATTCATGATGTTATAATATTATTATTTAGTTGACACATATTATAGGTAAATACATTCATGTACATTTACATTTCCATGATGGTACTTAAGAAAGATCATGGAAAATGTATATTTTGAAATATCTTCATGATCTTCAAAAGTTTATGCACCAAATAATTTACCTTTTAATCCTATTTTCATATACTTTTGAAGTATCCTCATATGTACATATATGTGTATAAATGTAGAAATATGTGTGCATGGATATATACATATATATCTCTCTGACACACACATATATAATAGTCCAAACATCAGTCATTTAATAAACTTTTTTTTAATTTTAAGAAACACATTTGGATCATGCCACCTCTCAGAAAGACTCCATGACTTCAAACTCACACTTGATTAGTCATTGGTGTGATTCATTCATTCACAGGAAGTTGTCAATTACAACTGCTGACTATGAAGTTCACGGAATGCTTTTACAGGCAATAAGTTGGAACAGGAGAGGAAGTGGAGTTTCATATTCAAGGTTAAAATGTAGCCTTTTAAAAGTGGAAAGGATTGGTCAATCAGTTGCTTTGAATTTGAGAAATCAAACCACGATGGCTGTTATTGAATTGATTGGCTTTGCAGTTACTTCAAGAGAACAGCCTCAGGCAGCAGGAAAAAAGTTCCCTAAAATTTCAAACACTGTGAACATATAATTAAAGATCAGGAAAACTTCCTGAAGCTAAACAGAAAAGAAAATTATTCTTATCAAAAGAAATTATAATATGATAATAAATGATTCATCTGATTCACGCATATGAAAAAGCCTCAAGCATCCTTGTTAAAAAGAACAATGTTTTATCCCATATGATAATTACTTAAGTAGGAATAGAATTGAAGTGGAAATTTACAAAGATTTATGAAAATATTTTGAGAGGATGTACATTTGATAGTATATGGAAAAACAGAGGCATTGCCTAAAATTATGAAGTATATAGAACTTTTCTCTGGTGGGGAGAATTATGGGATTTTTGTCAAGGATAACATCCTACAATAAAATCATATTTTACAAAACAGAAATCAGTGGTGGGCATTGTTTGGCAGAAATTGAACTACTGCTTGGGAAGCCCCCATCCGCATCAGAGTTCCTGGGTCTGAGTCCTACCTTGATCCCAGTCAAGCTTACTGCTAATGCACATGCTGCAAGGCAGCTGGTGATGGCTCAAATACTCGAGTCCTTGACGCTCATCTGAATTGAAGCTCCTGACTTTACCCTGGATCTGATCTGCTGTTGTAGGCATTTGGGGAATGAATCAGTGATAGAAGACTCTGATACTCACTCTCCCTTTCCCTCTCTCCCTCTCTCTTTTGCACTGTCATACTGCCATCAAACTAACTGAATAGATAAATGAGAAGCCAGAAAAATCTCTTATGTTACATTAAGACCTTCAATAATTTTATTGCAGTACCAGTATTTCCCTTCTTTTATAATGTAACTACTTCCTGAATAAAATGGGAAACACTTCCCAGCCACATTTGTTCCATGGTAAGAAAACATCATATCTGACAATGACACATACATGTAAGAGACAATTATCTCAGAATGCATTTAAACTCACAACTCTTGAAGACGGCTTAGTTGTGATTAGCAATGACTTCTCCTGAAGATATGTAACTGGGAGCTTCTCCATCAAATGTCATAGTAACCTGATGCCAATATCAGAACAGCCTTTCTAACACCTACTGCAAGTGCATGTAAGTAGGGTGTTCTACAGCTCAGCTGATGGACCTTTCTCAACTTAAATCAAATTTATATTTCAGAGCAGCTTCAGGTCTATTCACAGTAAAATCAAGAAAGAAAGTACAGAGAATTGTTTGTAACTGATGAGCCTACATTGACACATCACTATCACCCAAGCCTGGAATTCACATGAGGGTTCTCGTTTTGGTTTTACACATTTGAGACCTGCAAATGTATAATGCCACATATCCCCTTTATAGTTTTCAATACCTGTGCTGCCCTGGAAGCCCTCTCTTCTCCATTGATTCATCCCTCCCTTTCCCACATCCCCGGTAAACAACTAATCTTTCTTCTGTCTTCATAATTTTGCCTTTCCCAGCAAATCCTGAAATCACACTGCAATTAGCCATTCAGATTGGTTTCCTCCACTTAGTAGCACACAGTTCAACTTCCTGCATATTTTATTTGTAACTTTTAATTTCAGAATAGTTTTAAATTTACAAAACAAAGATTGTAGAATTATACAGAGTTCCCAACCCAGGTTCCTTTATTACTAACAAATAATATTTGTCACAATCCAGAAATCACACCCAGCTTCCCTTATTTTTTCCCAAACTCCTTTTGTGCTCCCTACCTCTCTCACAAGCAACATTCTATGTTCATACTGATTTTCTTTAGCTCCCATTTATGAGGGAGAACACGTAGTATTTGTCTTTCTGTGTCTGATATTTTAATACTTTACTTAACATGATGTTCTCTAGTTCCATCTCTGTTGTTACAAATGGCAGAATTTCATTTTTATGGCTGAATAGGATTCTATTGTGTATATGTAAAATATTTTTATCCATAAATCTGATGGTGGATACCTTAGTTGTTTCCCTATTTCACTACTGTAAAAGTGTTGCATAAACATGGTAGAGCAGGTATCTCTTTGATAATGATTACTTGTCTTTTGGATGTATACCTAACAGTGAGATTACTGGGTCATAGGCAGTACAATTTTTGGTTTAAAAAAACCCCATACTTTTTGAATGAATATTTCTGTTTGTGTTAATATTCCATTATCTGGATATGCTAAAGACATTTTGATTACTTCCATGTTTTGGTGATTATAAACAAACTGCTGCAGACACCAATGTATGAGTTTTTTGCATGGATGCAAGTTTT